GTCACCAAAATATTCAAATAAAATAAAAACACCCCAAGTCAGTCATCACTTCTTGTGTCTAAGTCAATCAGATCAGAGGGTCTGTTCTAGATTCAATAGCAAACTCTCTGTGAAGCAAAGTAACCCAGTCACATGACAGCAAATGCTGGTCACAAACGCCTGTCCATTTTGTCAACAATGAAACCAGGTCTAGTACAACAGATCAGGGTAAGAATCATTTAACTCTATATTAACATTCTTTGAAATCAATTAATTAGCACAATCACCAAGAGTGATTTCTCCTGAGTAAGTTACCCATACTCTGATGAAAATGACATTTTGTTGAATGTAATTTATGCTGGCACCCACAAAATACAGAGCACCCAATTCATGAAGTGCAAGATTCATCATCAAGAGGAAGGAGCTGTAAGGTGACAGTTTGTGGCTGTCATTTGTGAGCAGAGGTCTGACACAGGCTTGAGTTTCACACTAAGGCCTGACCAATGGATTCACATGCCACTTACAGTATGAGCAAGAGATGGATGACAAAGGTATTGGCATGTGAGCCTTCTGCATAGCAACAACAGAGTCCAGCATTCTGCTTCCCAAGTCTATCATTTCCCAGGGGTAAACTCCTAAATCAAAGGAAATAAAATCCAATAGCTTAAGCTGGTGTTTCCCAAAACATGGACTATACTTCACTCCTAACATTATTAATATTAAATCATAAGTAAAGCAAACACACTTTCCAAACCTCTTCTAATTCTGTGGCTAAACCATACTGTATGTGCATAACTGTTTTACTCCTAGCCGTTCAGGTCCTTTGAAACAAAAGGGGCAGGTCTCAGGTTTAGAGCCAACACTGGCAGACCATCAACAAAGACTAAATATTCTTTACCTTACACTGTCATCCTTTATGATAAACAACACTAGCCTTTTCCATGCCTCCCTTAGAGTTTTCTTTGTAAGTGATTTATACAAATAAAAACTGATTTAAAGAAAAGAAGTAGGTGAAATCAAGTCAGTAAATAAGTCAAATTTCATCAGCTAGAGTCTGATTAATATTGGGAATGACTGGCTTAGTCACAAGTTACTACCATGCCCTAGAAAACCAAGCAGATCCACAGGGTTAATGAGTGGATCGGCCTAACCAATCTAATGCAAAGTGCTCCAAAGGCTGACGTTTGATCAGGGTTTCAATTAACTATAGAGATTCTAAATATGGTAGCTGTCCAGGATCAATCAGTATCTCTCATCCATTTCTCTTACATTAGATCACTCCTACGTCTGTACAAAAAGTCATAGTGTGTGCCGGGGATGGCAAGTCAAGGCCCTCTTCCTAAACAAAAATGGTGAACAGAAGAGCACAGGGCAGTGGGGCCTCCCCAGGGACTCTGTGGAGTCGCTAGGAAGGACGCGTGCAACCGCAGGCCAGCGACAAGTCCTCTCTAGCTATACTCCATCGCCACCTGTGCAGATCCAGAGACAAGTGATGTGGCAAGACCAGTTATCCAGTAGCACATGGTCAGCAAACCCATCACTAACTCACTAAGATTCCCATTTCAAAAGAATGGCACATTCGGCTTTAGAGAAAGTTACCATCTTAGTCCTCATTCATGTTTACAGTTTCAGCAGCAATTAATGTGATGCTACCAGCCATGACACAAAGACCTCAAACAGGTTTCTAAAAACAGGGCCTCCTTCTCGGCAGCACTGCTGGTGTCAACAAGTCAGTAGGTGTGCACCATTCCCTGTGCCAGCCCCCTGAGCACTGTAACATTCCAAGAGTGAATAGTGTCTGTGAAAGCAGGGAGCGTTGGCCAACGTGCAAATCTCAAGCAGCCAAGGGAGCTCGGCACTGCCAGTTCCTGGGGTCTGCTCCTGGAGATCCCAATGTGGTAAGTCTGAAGTGGGTTTTGGAAAGTGGTCTAGTCAGAACACTCTCTTGATTCAGATGCAGGTGCTTTGAATCCACTTACTCAAATTATATCTTTGAAATCTGATATTAACCATAAGAAACATCCTGTACTTAAAAATACTGAGTAACTAATTGAAGATAAACATGAAGAATACTGGAGTATTTCAAAACATCACAGCAATATCAAGAAAACATGCATTACTATTACTATACAGTTTCAAGAAAGAAAATAGGTTATACCGCGAGAGCCTGGGAACACTACAGCGATACCAGCCATCACCGTCACTAGTCAAGTATTTCCTCCAAATGCAACTTGCTGGCAAAAAACATGTGGCCACTTCTCTAAGCAACAATGTGCTGTCCACCAATCTCCTCAACACCCATATCACCGATGTAAGTAACTTACAAGTGGCACCATGGCGTCCTTTCCTGTCCTGGCATCGGCTGTTTTCACCGAACTACCTGTAGGATTTCGCAGCAACTGCCTGCTTGTTCCTAAAAGTCATAGGTCAATACCAACAACACATGAATTCACAGAAAATTACTAACATGTTTTTGTCAAAAGATACACACTCACTCCATAGGCAGGTATGAGATTTTCTAAGACAAGCTCTGACTCCCAATGCTGAAATCTCCAGGAATCCAAAGCACTCAACAAAGTCAAGTAAGTAAGTAAGATTCATCACACCTGCAAGTGGGAATCGCTGGGAGATCACAGGAATGCTCATGCCGAAGCTGCCTTCCCACAGCCAGGGCAAAGTCAGATTCTTTTAATGACTTCCTTGACCACACAATGATGTGAAAACAATACACCTTCAGTAGAAGCTCTAGTTTGAATTGTGAATTCTGACCATTTTCCAGGCCTGATCCTGAGTGACAGCAATAGCCTATAGCTCCCAGCCAGCCACAATCTCAAGGGAAAAGTTTCTCTTGGCTACAAAATCGCTTACCTAGGTTTGTTCGAAGGATTAAAACGCATCTCCAACACCCAGTATTTTCAACTTACAGTGGCTTACTAGTATGTAGTCCCACCATTAGTTAATAGCATCAGTACTGTAATAAACAAATGACTGGCTACTTGGCAAGATTCTGATTTTGAAAAATTTTTGTATTTACCAACTATAGAAAGAGAATGCAAGAATAGTCCTCCTGGAATTTCATCAAAGAGGAAAGGGAGAAGGGAGGAAGTAAGACTGGTTTGCAAAAATAGTTTACCTTCCACAATTCCCACACACACAAGAAGTGACAGGGCAGCGCCAAGAGTGGTTCTCCTTGGCCCTAGGGCCCTGGGAACCCCCATCCAGGGAACACGGTGGCGGCCCTCCTCTACTTCACAATGCCCGGTGCCTGCCTGTGCTGCCTCATCTGCCTTCCTAACTCCACCAACACTCTGCCACTGCTGACTCAGAGAAAGGCCTCCAGGACACTCCTCCTCTGCCAGGACCTCTCTTCTCCTAACCTGTAATATTTCCCTGGCCACTAGAGGGACCTCAGCCTCCCGCTCAGGATCTTCGTTGTCACTCTGCACTAGGGATTGACAGAGAGAAAGGTAGACATGGGGAGATTAAATCTGGGCATAATATCGGCATTAAAATAATGGCTTTAAAAATACTTACATGTTGCTTCCTTGGTGCTCTGACAGTTCCCTACACTAAGCCTGCATCCCTAGACAGGAAACACACTAGGTAAAGTAGTCCTAGAAGATGACCAAGAATCCAAGAATTTTAAGCCTAAAAAAGTCCTGCAGGAGACAGCATGTTTAGAGTTTCCCTAGTGCTTCCTTCTAATCCAGTCTACCCATCAGTTCCCAGAAGCATCACTAAGTCAGATTCTGGTTCTGAGGATCTGCAACAGGTCTCCACTAACACACAGAAAAGGCCTGCGAGTTGCTCCCAGCCTACTTTTGTACAGGGCTCATCCACAAATGGGTACAGCAGTTCTGGCCAATGAGAACTGTCTAGCACATTCCAGACAGCCTGGATGTTCTTGGCGCAGAGCTTCCTCATGTCACTCTGAAACCAGCCTGGACCCACCAAATATGGTTGTTCAGTACATAAGCTGTGCAGCTGCCTGTGGGTGCCTTGTTAGTCTCATCCAAACACTTCCAGTTTCAGGGGCTTAAAGGCCATTACAAACTACATTTCCAAAACAGGCTTATAGAGCAAGTTTAAAAACGGAAAATATTAAACCTATAGACAGACAGCAAAGGATTTTCCTTTTCACATCCTCATGTGAAGGCTATTTTCTCTAAGAAGACTCTCAGTCCTTCACTATACTGGCTGGCAATGTGTTCTGCCTTATTCTTAGGCCCCGGGCTGTTTTAGCTCTAGACTAGACACAGACCTTCTTGTGTCTGGAGCTGGACCTCTGTCCACTCTGCTGACCCCACCCCTGCCCTTGGACCTGTGGTGTACTAAGCACTGCTGGTGGCACTCTGCAGTCTCAGCAGGAGCCTGAGGTTGCCACTACTTTCTGGACTGTAAAAAGCAAACTAAGGCTGGGTCATTTGCTTAAGGCAAAGAAAGAACCTGTTATTCTCACACGTTTAAACTGAAGTCCAATCTAGTCCAGGCTTCAAAGGCCTACGTCCAAATATTAGGCAACTGAATGGCTTTCTTTTCCAGTGTCAGTCTTCTGTGTGGTAGTGCACACCTTTAATCCCAGCACTTGGGAGGCAGAGGCAGGCAGATCTCTATGAGTTCAAGGCCAGCCTGGTCTACAAATCGAGTTCCAGGACAGCCAGGGATACAAAGATCCTTGTCTTAAAACACCAAAAAGCAAACTAACCACCAACCAAATGAACAAAAACACCTACTAAATTCACAACCAAGGACTCAAGAAAGAAACCTTTAACAATATTGGTGTAAAGTTTCAAGATACTTTCTCCTCAGATTTCAGGAAAAGCCAGAAAATGTAGATCAGAAAATAAAAATATAAAATTCAGAAATCACCCAACACGATAGCTTTCAGCTCTTTCTATGAATTGGAATGCCTACTTCCTGTGAGGAAAGGTGCAGATATCCTCCCCATTCAATCACTGGCCTTCAGTCACGCATGCGGCTTTACCTTTCCCTCCTGATGATTTTCATGATGCAACACTTACCATAATGAGATTGAAATGCCTGCGGTTTGACAACTTGGTTGCAGTCATTACACACCACCAAGTAGAAATCATCATGTGCCGGACAGAGACCAAATATTGGCATATCTGCAACAAAGAAACAGCCATCACTCATTTATCTGCTAGGCTTGGAAGCACTCGGAGGAACACTAGTTTCCAAAGGCAATGCCTCATTACAGTAAAGAGTACATGGACCATTTAGGAGCCTATCACAACTGAGAAAGAAATCAAACCAGGCTAAGGCCTTTACAAAGGGCTGAAATATGATGCATCAAAAGTTATTACAAGGTGTAAATAGAGCTATTAAAAGGTACACAATGAATACATTAACACAATAAAATGATTAAAGGTGAACTCTACCATGATTGAGGAACAATTTGCAAGAATATGAAATGTGATTAGTAATTCACAAAACTATAGTAAGGTTTTTATTTGCTTAAATATGTACTCTGTTCCAGTCAGCTGATCCCAAGTCCTATGGAGCAAATAAGAAAGGTGCAGAGATACCACCAGAGAGAGAAACTATCCTTTTCTCCACTGTGCCATATGAAGAAAAATTTTTTACTTCTTTTTAGGGACCAATAACCTCTTACATCTTGATTCCACCAGACTGACTTGGGTACAAACACATTAATTTGATTTTTCATAGTAGGGCAGACAAGTTTTATTTTGTTTTTAAACAACAGTGAAAACCAAACTATGTGCATATACATGAAAATGCAAAGTAATTTCATTTCCTGTAAATATGGCTAAATATAAAAAGCTTTAACCGTTAGATATTGTTAATAACAATCTAGGAATCTGCTCAAAGTTTAGATCCAGAATCTAAACTTTTTTGTTTTGTTTTGTTTTTTGAGACAGGGTTTCTCCATGTAGTTTTGGTGCCTGTCCTGTATCTAGCTCTGTAGACCAGGCTAGCCTGGAACTCAAAGAGATTCACCTGGCTCTGCCTCCTGAGTGCTGGGATTAAAGGCATGCTCCACCACAACCCAGCTAAACTTTTAAAATACTTCAAAATTACCAATTATAAGCAAGTATTTCAATGAGTGGATAAATAGCACATTTTAACTTGGCAAATATTTTAGCAGATCAAACTAAAGAAGGCAGGAAAGAACAAAGTCTGGGGATGTAGCTCAGTGGTAGAATGCTTGCCTAGCCTGAGCAAGGCCACACAAAATAAGTAACTAGTGAAAAAGTAAGTGGGAAGCTAAACAGCCTCTTTTTTCATTCCTATAGATTTAATTTCACTTTCCGTGCATAATGAATGGTATTGGCTTGAAAAGAAAAAGCAGTAAGAGATGTCAGAAAATGATGTCTAAGATATCAAACTGGTGATCTAGTCTTCACAAGTGGTTATCGCTAACACTTTCCTGACAGTGTCTATTATATTGAATTGCATGTAACAGCCACAAATCCAAAATGAACTGAGGACATCATGATTCTGGGATGCAGGCACCATCACTGAGTAGTCTGTCCTGATTTCTCACTTATCTGGACAGCTACTTACACAGGTTCCACTACGTCACTACTCCAGAGAGAGGAGACTGAGTCAGGCAGTGGTGAATCTAAAGCCAATATTCATCTAAAGCCAATAGCAGGGAATCAATACTAATACATACATTGGTTTGAACTTGGTCTCTTAAGACCAGAGAATGATTCCTAGGCATTCTAGATTCTAACAACAACCTGGAATGTCAGAGCCAAACACCTTTGATTATACAAACTGAGTAGATAATGTAAGGAACTTGCAGCACACTGTTATTTCCATGACTAAGCTTAAATAAATGAAAAGAACTAAACAAGGTACTATTTTCTTTAAAAGCATGCTTACTTTAGGGTAAACATAGTATATATTCGAGTAGGGTAAAGTTATAGTCCATGGAATGATGTACATATAATATGCTATTTTTCTTTTTCAAGACAGGGTTTTTCTGTGTAACAGCCCTGGCTATTCTGGCACTCACTTTGTAGTCCATGCTGGCCTCAAACTCACAGAGATCCACCTGCCTCTATCTCTTGAATGCTGGGATTAAATGTGTGTGCCACCATGCCCAGTTATAATATACTACTTTTCTAAGGCTATTGTTTGACATAGAAGTTGCATTACATCCCTGTGATAAGTATCCTAACAGGGATACTAATGAGAAAAATTCTAATTACTAGAGTGGCATGAATTTCATGTTCTGTGTTACAAAGTATAAAATGTCTTTAAATATCAAGTTAATAGTTTAACTGATGAAAACAAGCCAGTTAACCTTATTTAATAAACAAAAGTTAAACAGCATTTAAGAATGGTTGCAACTTCCTTTTAGCCTGTGATGAGCTGGTCTGTCGTTTCTTCCTGTGCTCAGTGATCGGCAACGTTCTGTGATACACACTCGTCAGGGAAGCACAGCAGCAGGAAATGATGGAACCCTGCACTCGGGAGGCTGAAGCAGTGGATGAGTGTGAAGCCAGCTTGGAACATAATAGTGCTACATAGCAAAGTGCTGTCGCAACAACCCAAATCAAATGCGTTTATATACACATTCAGACACTTCTGGTGGCTAACTCTCTACCCCTTTAAAACAAAGGCCATTTGAAAAACTAGGGCAGAGTGTAGTACAGTGGTAGAGTGCCTGCCTAAAATGCATGATGCTCTGAGAACAATACCCAGGGCTAGGAAAAGGAAGGAAGGAAGGAAGGAAGGAAGGAAGGAAGGAAGGAAGGAAGGAAGGAAGGAAGGAAGGAAGGAAGGAAGGAAGGAAGGAAGGAGATGAAAGAACTAAAGAGAGAAAATGTATAGATCCTTGCAAGTAACAGTGACTGATAGTGCCACAGGGACCTTTATAGAGAACATAGTGTCGTTGTCTTTAACCTGGTTTCTATCACCCTTTCAAAACCAGCGAAATGGAGAGGAGTTATTCTGTAAGGAATCTATATTTATGCTAAAATTTCAATTTCGTCAAAAATGTAAGATCACTTGAGATTTAAAACGACAATATGAGAGCCATAATCATAGTTGACTTTTAGTGACTGACACTATTTGCTATGACCTGTGCCAAGCACTTTTTATAAGGCTTATCACATTTGTTTCCTTCTCTTTTGTTCAGAGCCTATTTTATTATAACCTTTATTAATTGTATATATTAAGATTCACTCTACTGTTTCCACACAGGCATCAATCATGTCCATCCACTTTTCGACTCTCACTCTCGCCTCCCACTGCCCTATTCTATTTACATCTGAAAAGAATCCTACAATAGAATACTCTTTTGACTTCAGGAGAAATGAACCCGTCTAGTACCACCCAGTGAAAAAGCATGGCAGCAGGTCTGAGGTTTGCACGCTATAAGTGCCTCCTTAGCCATCAGTCACACCGTGTCTGGCTGGGCAGCATGTGCATACGTACACTGGCACAGTGGAGACCATGTGAAACGCTGAGTCCCACTTCAGACCACCCTGGGAAACCCAGTTCCTATTCCAAAATCTAAACAACTTTAGTTTTAATTTTGTAAATTATTTGGTTTTAGATAGTCATATCTGGGTATAAGCTAGAAAACACAAAATAATTTAAATAAAATGTCTTTGGGGTAGGTTCTATAACCATTTTCTGTACTAAGACATTCCAGAGTCCTTAGCAACAGGAACAGAGTGTAGAATGTTGTGGCAACCAAAAGAAACAAAGTGATTTATGAGAGAGGCAGTATGTATGTATATATACATACACATATTTAAATATATAAATATATAATATAAACATAAATATATATTATATAGTAATATATATTTAAATACATATATTTAAAGCATAAACTTCACAATCAACCCACCTACAAATTAACATATGGGTTCTATCAAAAAGGAGAAGTTTGACTTACAGCAGAAAAAATTATTTAATAAAAATGAAGTTTCTACTGATTTAAAGTTTACAAAATACACTTTGGACACATACATTAATTCATCAACTGGGTACTTAAAATAATGAAAAGCTTTGAAATTGTACTTGAGTTTATGAATATGAACTAATTTAAAATGAATAAATGCAGTTCTGGTAAGCCCTAAATTTTCCTCAAGATTTAGGTTAAATAAACGAGGACTGGCCCAGCACCTATATCTAGGCTATCACTTACTTTGGGGACCCTGCCACTGTCTCCGTGAGAACAAAGGCTGTGTCAGAGGCTAGTCCTCCAGCTGTAGAGAATATACTGAGTTCACTCTGGTGTTGGTACGTGGGAACGAAGGCCGTGTCAGAGGCTAGCCCTCCGGCTGTAGAGAATGTACAGAGTTAGCTCTGGTGTTGTCACCTTCACTTTGAGAACTTTGACAACAGAAATTCAGGTGTTGTAAGAAACCATTTAATCTTTTCAGGATCCTGAGTATCTCCCTTCTCACACACAACCCAAACTTCTATACATCAATGGCTCCCATCTTCAGCCCAGACTACCCCCAAGCTCTGTCTAAATCAGTGGTTCTCAACCTTCCTAATGCTGTGACACTTTAATATAGTTCTTCATGTTGTGGTGACCCCAACCATAAAATTATTTCATTGCTACTTCATAACTGTAATTTTACTACTGTTTTGAACCATAATGTAAATATCTGATATGCAGGATATCTGATATGCGACCCCTGTGAAGGGGTCATTCAACCTCCACCCCCTACTCCCCACCCCAAAAGGTCGTGACCAACAGATCTAGATTCTGTTTCCACCATGTACCAGATGCTATCCTCTAGCTACATACATCTCACACAAAACAATCAGGTACAAGAGAACCCATTGTTGACTCAGTCCTAGTTTTGTTTCCAATTATTTCCCCAATTCTGGGTAAATACTATTTATTCTTCAATGGCTGAAATTTAAAACTTAGGTACTAAGTCTCGGCATGTGTGAGGACCTCGGTTCAACACCCAGTAGGTCAACAACAGCAATGACAAACCCCAGGTACCTACCATCTTTGAATTCTCCCACCTAGGCTACCTGTAGATTCCTGGTCCGTTCTAAAACCTTGTCATGGCTCTCCAAGGCCACTGGTGCAGGGCTACTGCGGCACCATTCCCTGCCTGCCTGGACTCTGAAGAAGTCTCCCAAGTAGCTACCAGAATGC